TCCTCGGCCTCCAGCCCCGCCCCACCCCGGCCTTCTGCGGCTCTAGCAGGGGGTGCAGGTGTCTGATCCTCAGATCCAGTAGTGCGTGTCTTCACCATTTGTGAGAGAATAAAAAGTCAAAGATTCAGTTTTCGAAGTCAACAAATTTGCACGATAAGTAATCAAAGAAGTGATGTTTTCCTAATAGTTCTGTAGCCTCTCGAAGATAAGTACAGACGTCTCCATACCGATCTGCAAGACTTTACTAAACCTGCTTATGACTCATAACATCTATGAGCCTAGGGCTCTGATACCAACTTGTCACGACCCCAATTTCCCATCCGTAGGATGTCGTGATGGCACCTAGTCTCTACGACTAAGTAAGCCTAACAAATAGTAATAACTTGACAGAAACAATTATCAAAATGCTAAAACAAAGCTGAATAACTGATATAACCTTCCGATACAAAACATAATCTCAACAATACGCTCCTCAAAACTGGTAGAACTAAGTCATAATCTCTATAGAGTAAGACTATGGTAACTACTACATCATTGTCTATAAGAACTACAACAATAAACAAAATAAAAGGGAAGGTGACTCCGAGGCTTGCAGACGTAGAGCAGGTATACCTTGAAGTCTCCCAAGCAGCAACTCAATCGACTCTAGTGTCCGGTACGGGCAGGCATAACTGGATCTGCACAAAAATGTGCAGAATAGTAGTATGAGTACACCACAATGGTACCCAAAAAGTACCAAGCCTAACCTCAGTAGAGTAGTGACGAGGCCAGGTCAAGACACCTACTAGGATATAAATAAGTAGTATGAAAATATAATACGGATATAAAATGGAAAGTGGAGAAATAACTGATACCAAACAAGATAGTAACACGAACTAATACTGGAAATTTAATCATGGAAATAGCATAAAAGAAGCAACCTAAGATAACTACAATGATCATATACGGAAAAAAGCTGCTAGAACATTAAAGAATGAAACAACAAGAAATGTTCGCACCAAAATTCTTTGTAATATGAAACAACAGCAAGAATCACAAAGAGGTACCGCCTTGTGTATAATGAAATCAAAACCGAGGTACCGCCTGGAATAATCAAAAATCACAACCGAGGTACCACCTCGTATTCACATTTCACAATTTCAATCTTTACTTATACTGCCGCGTAAGCCTTACATTTGAAATAAGTTTTTCAAATAGTTTTCTTGAAAGAGCTACACACACTTTATCCCACCTTATGACACCGTGTGGATTCACGTAGTTTCTCTACAATAAACATGCATATAAGTCCCAACTTATACCGCCGCATGCACGTCAATATCACATTACAATAACAACTTGCACCGCAAGTGCCCATATATCACAATTTGCTAATAATTCACAATATCAATATTTCCACAACAATAGCCCACGGCTCCACCACAATGGGTACAAGAATATCAACAACAACAATAATGAATTAAAATGCTCAAAAGGAATATGTTTCAACAATAACAATTTTTCCTCAACGTGATAACGACGTTCACTACTGCAACACCAATAACTCAATAATGAGAGACCATGCATAACCACGATGTAAAATAAGAATAGCTCACAATGGAAGAGATAATGTGTAGCAATAACTTCTAATAATGAGAGTCAACAATGAAAGAGATAACGTGAACAATAACTTCAATTCATGATAATCAAAAATGAAAGAGATATCATATAACAATAAGAGAAGCAACAAGTTCAACTAAAACATGAGAGCAAATTATCAATTAAGAGGTAGAACAAATGTTAACAAAATCATGTAAGGCATGTAAAGATAGATTAACACAAATAAGAATAGATTTATTAAGAGAATTAAAACATGATATGGCATTCAATTAAAGCATAGAAATAGTCTAAGTTGCCTAAACTGGTCAAATACCACAATACAACCCGTGTGCCCACTCGTCACCTTGCGTACACGAATTCACTTAGCACAAATTGAATCAAACTATACCAATCCTAAGGGGTGGTTTCCCCACACAAAGTTAGGCAAGACACTTACCTCAACTAGCCCAATCAACACTCGGAAATAGCATTTCCCTTAAAATACGCCTCCACAAGGCTCAAATCTAGTCAAAATCAACTTTATATTATCAAACTATGCTAGAAAATTCAATTGCAATAGATAAAGCATCTTTATACTTTTTTCCAAAAAGTTAATTTCTTATTTTTCAAAAACTTGACAAAGTTTCACTTTGATTCACATGATTTTGATGTTAAAATATAAGATATGTTGATGAAATATGATTAGAAATAGATTAGAATCACTTACCCAAAGTTTGTAGTGAAAATCCCCTCTCCAAATCTCCTCCTACTGAGTCTAGGGTTCAAAAATGAGAGAATGAGAGATAAAATCCCGACTTTTAGCCCTTATGTTCACCTGCAGTTATTGCAAATGCGATTTGGGTTCACAAGTGAGAACCCTCACAATTGCGACTAAAACCTCGCAATTGTGGCGCTCAAGGCCTGTGAATCACTCTGCAAATGCGAAGATGGGGTCGCAATTGCGGACCCTGCTGCCCTCGCAATTGCGACAAAAACCATCGCAAATGCAAACCCAACCCAGAATTTCTTCGCAAATGCGACCAAGGCATCGTATTTACGATACCTGTAGGATCCCTACTATAGTCGCAAATGCGACCATGGTGTTCGCAATTTGCGACACTAGAGGGCACCAGCCACTAGTTTTGCAGAATTCAGTCCAACACACATCAGAACGTGTCCGAAATTCATCCGAGCCCTCGAGGCTCCATACCAAATATTCACACAAGTTTAAAAATATCATACACACTCAATCGTATGATCAAAACACAAAACTAACATCTAAAACTAAGAATTGAATTCTAAAGCGCATGAATTTTAAAGAAATTTTCAAGAACTTATAGAATTACAACTAGACGTACGAATCCTATAAAATCAACTCCAAACGACACCAAATTTTACAGACAAATTCTAAATATCATAACAGACTTATTCCAAGTCCAAAAATTAAATTACGAACCCGATAGCTAAAAGTTAACCCCACCAGCTGCCAGTCGCAAAATGCGACACACCAACTTTGAAATTGCGAAGGTCCTCCCATGAGCCCAATGTCACAAATATGATGCAATCTCTCGCAAGTGCGAGGTCCCCAACAAGGCCTGGTCGCAAATGCGACCTCCAGTTCACAATTGCAATGCACCAGAACTAGATATGTTGAAGTCCACAAAAGCTCAGATACCATCCCGAAAACACACGGGCCTCTCAGGACCCCTTCAAATCATATCAACAAGTACAAATACTTAATTAAAACTTCTCCAAATGCTCAGAGCACCACAACTTATATTAAAATCAAGAATCAACAATCAAATCCTTCTCTTAAGTTTAAAAACTTTCAATCTGCAACCAAGCGTCCGATTTAAGCCTCACCATTTCGGTTTTCAGCCAAACTTTACACACAAGTTTTAAATGACATAAAGAACATATACCAAGTTCCGAAATAATAATCTGACTCTGATATAATCAAATCCAACCCCCTGTCAAACCTATGAACTCTCCAAAGCTACAAATTTCCAACTTTCGACAAATAGAGCCAAAACATTTTAGGACCTCAAAATCCTATTTCGGCCTAAGTCCAATTTCATCATATAAACCTATTGGAATAATCAAAATACTAATCCGAGGTCGTTTACACGAACGTTAAATCTTGGTCAACTCTTACAACTTAAGCTTCCAAAATGAGACTAAGTGTCTCAAATCCCTCTAAAACCTCCCCGAAGCCAAACTAATCGCTTTAAATTAGAAAATCACAAATACACATACTGAAAATATTAAGTAGGGGAGTGGGGCTCAAATACACAAAATAATTGGCCATGTCGTTATAATAAAAGACATAAAGATGTATTACACCTATGTCATCAAAATAATATCTAAACTAGAGCGACACCGAAAGAAATCCTCAATTAAAAAGTAACATGAAATAATAAATTAAAGAACGCATTTTTTTTTTTTGAAGAAAATGAAGCATAAATAAGGAAATGCAAGGGTGGAACCAACATGGGGAGAAAACTCCTTTTTACATTATAGTTTGCACTTTGAAAAATGTCTAAATGTGTTTGTTTCTCGTAGTAAATAACAAAGAGTAAAGATTATGAAATTGGGGTAAATAAAAAAAACCTTTTGATTTTTGAGATTTTTAGTTTGAAATTTTAGTAAGTTACTTTGGATGTTTAAGTTTGTTTTTTTTTTTTTAAAAAAAAAAAACTACTAAGCAATTCTGGCTCAAATTTGAAAATGTTTTCGAGCTTATGCCCCAAATGAACGCCCAGAACATTGGGACTTACGCCTAGGCGAACGCCCAAAATGTTAGGGCTTACGCCCCACCATATTCACGCCCCGCTATTACGCCTCGGTGCATTTTTAGTACCCCTCGCTCCAAAGGCCGCTCAAAAATTTTAAATTACTGATTAATATCAATCGCTTTTTAAATTGTTCTGCATCACGTTTTGAAAAAAAGAAAATATATATTGTAATTTCATTAAGAAAAGATGATAACTCTTTTTATTTTATTTTTTAAAAGGGAAGTCTTTCCAGCATTGTTGATGTGATAGTTTTCTTCGGATGAAATCTTGGCATTGAGTTGATTTAAAAATAATGTAAAGCTTTCACTTCTCACTTGACTTTAACTATATTCTTTTTCGGTTACTTGAATATCCTCTTGTAAAGGAATAACCTAAACGGATATCATAAGTCTAGCTGGCGGTTTAAAAAACTTACCATGATATCGATTCACTTTCCTTGCTTATCAATCCATTACATCTAAAGAAATCTCTTAGTATAATAGAAACCAAGTTTTCTTATGATATTCTTCTAAATGCAATACTACTAAGGTAATAAATTAATGAATGAATAATCATTTGAAAGTATGAAGGAAATTGGAGGTGTATATAAAGGCAAGTGATGAAGAAAGTAAAAAGAAACCAAATAAATAAATGGCTTCAATTTCTAGTTTCGGAATAGCCTTTGTATTATGCCTTATTCTTAGGTACAGTAGTGCAGAGGAGAAGCTCTTCAATGTCCAATCCTATGGTGCTAAAGCAGATGGAAAGACAGATAATAGTAAGGTGAGAACCAGCCCTTTTAACTTTAAATGTGTCTATCGTATTAATTCTTGCACAAATTCCAGGCGGATGAGAAATATTGACAAACTCATAACGTCACATGAGTAAAACTACATCTTAGCACACTTCCTTTCATATTTGGCATAAAAAATACTATAATTCCCAAATAGACAAGTTTTTCCAATGTGTAATGTCAGCTTATGTTTCATATGAATTTTTTATGTTTCTAAGTGCGCACATAGTAGGATTAGATCATTATTTCAATAGAATGTGCGGTTATAGTTTTATTACACGAAAAACAATAGAATTAAAGCTTAATTAAGAGGTAAATTTTCCACTTGAAGAGTTAAGTATTGTGTTTTGTTGCACAAAACTTTACAGAAAGGAGTTTTACTTCATATCTAAAATCATAAGGAATGTATGTGTTACATGCTGAAACATGAGGTATAAGACAAGAGAACGTTGCTTAAATGGTAAGCACCCTCCATTTCCGACCGTGAGATTCTAGGTTTGAGTCATCAGGGGAGCAAAGTGGAAGACTTTTAGGAAGGATAAAAAAAGAAAGTCGGTATAACTGTCCTAAAAATAAGAAAAAGAAAAAGATGATATTGTTATTCAAATGTCATTATTACATGTATAATGTTGCCCTTTTTGCCAACATGACTACCTATAATGGTCATTGTAAATATGAAATTTCAGTGTTTAAATTATCTAATTATAAAGTATCTATCTTTTATTTATTGATTTATTTTGGAAGGCATTCTTGAGTACTTGGAAGGATGCATGCCAATGGAATGGAACATCCAAATTCTTGATACCTTCAGGGGAATATATGGTATATGCTGCAATTTTTATTGGACCATGCAGTGGATCCATGACCTTCCAAATCCAAGGGGTTGTTAAAGCTCCAACAGATCCTTCTCTATTCTGCAATTCGACTTGGATTTCCTTTCAATATGTAAATGGCTTAGAGATTGAAGGAGGCGGAACTTTAGATGGACAAGGGGCTTCAGCTTGGCCTTATTTTGATACTTCCAAGAATTCTAACTGCCCAACCCTTCCTGTTGTAAGTTTAATTTTATATAAATTTTATGTTATTTGTCATTTTTGTCTAATTTATTCCGATATATTTTTATTCTGAATAAACGTATTTGTATATTTAGCATATCGATAATTTGATTAAATCTAGTCTCGCCGTAAAAGTGCATTTACGATATTACTCAATCATAGAGGTATAGCGATTCAAAAAATAGTGACATCACAAAATTTCTTTCACCATTTACTTGGTTACAGAATACTTCTTTTTGTGATTATAATGCGATGTTATTAAAAACTTAATATTGTTTTTCTATGCCTTATTTTTTTAAACTTGAACCAGACACTGAAATTAGATTTTATCAAAAATGCGGTGGTGCACGACATACATTCAATCAATAGCAAGAGTTTCCATTTCGACCTCTTTAAGTGTAATAACGTGACATTTAGTCATGTTAACCTAACCGCACCAGGCGACAGCCCTAACACCGACGGCATTCACATGGGCGTCTCCACCAATATCCAAGTTTTGGATTCCAACATTGGCACCGGAGACGATTGTATATCTATGATCAACGGCAGCCAAAGCATCAACATTTCAGGGATCACTTGTGGCCCTGGCCATGGAATAAGCATCGGAAGCTTAGGGAAGACACAAAATGAAGTCGTCACAGACATACATGTCAAAAATTGCACTCTCATTTCTACTCAAAATGGCGCCAGGATTAAGACTTGGGCACCATCGGAGTCTGGTAGTGCCACAAGTATAAATTTTGAGGATATTTTCATGGATAATGTTAGAAATCCTATCATTATTGATCAGCACTATTGTCCATCGCCTCCTTGCAGCAGTGAGGTACTTGCATTGTCCTTTTCTCCATCTTTATATTTAACATGTTTTGTATGTCTAAAGTCATATTCAATAAAAAATGGTTTGACAGAAATTATTTTTCCGAACAATATTTACATGTCTTTGGTTGATAAGCACGACGCATTACCCAATAAATTTATATATTAAAATTAAGAATATATTAGCAAACCAAAAAATATTTTGATGAAATTCTAGAGTACAAAAGTTTAATAATAATATCTAAGTATCAGTTAGAGCAAATATTATAACTTAAAGTTTAAAATAGTTATAAAAAGAATGGCTTCCGCCCATAAGTGACGGAAATCCTTTTTCCCTTTTGATGAAAAATGTTTTCTTGGATCAAAAACATATTTTTAGTATTCCAAACACACAAAAAGAAAAAAAGACTATCTCATGAAATATATTTGTCTACAAAATATCTTACGTCATATCAAACACGAAAATGTTCAGTTGGATATTTTTTATATCACACGATGGCAACACTCTCCTTTGTTTCGTAGGCGAGCTCAGTGCAAATCAAGGACGTGACATTCAATAACATAAGAGGAACTTCAAGTTCAGTGGAAGCTGTTACTTTGAATTGCAGTGCTTCATTTCCTTGCCAAGGAATCAACCTTACTGAAATCAATTTGGTATACAATGGCGCTGGTGGACCCGCTATCTCGTCATGTGATAATGCCCAAGGGACTGCCACCGGCATGGAGTTGCCTCCAAGTTGTTTAAAATCGTCTCTTGATTCATGAAGTTAGGGATATTAGAATTTTGAAATATATAGCATATTCACAAAGCAAATGGTCGATGATTTTTTTAGTCTGAGAAAATGAATAAAAGGTTCAATGAAGGAAAATTATTGTATTAAATCTTTGAAATCTCTCTACAATTCTTCTCATAATATTTTTCACAATTCTACGCACATAAAATAAGCTACTAATATCCATATTTATAATAGTATGAAACCTATTTCAACTAAAAACATGAAAGTCTATTCCTACATTAATTCTGACTACAAATCCTATTTAGACATGAATTAAATAAACTAGCAAATATTAAATCCTAAAAAATTTAGGTTTCCTACTACAACTCTGAATTAGTTTTCCAACTTTCTCTCGTAATTCAAAGTTGTGTATGACTTTTGTTGTATTGGAGCACTTCTCTCCTATCTTCTACATTTGTTGAAGTACATGTCTCCAACCCTTGTTGATGTACTTTGCCACCAATAACCAATTTTGTTGAAGCAACTGTCTTCAACATCCATTGATGCACGTTCTCACCAACACTCAATTTTGTTGAAGCGCTTGTCTTCAACTCCTGTTAATGAACTTTGTCACCAACAACGAATTGTGTTAAAGCACTTGCCTTCAACTCCCGTTGATGCATTTTGTCATCAATACCTAATTATGTTGAAGCACCTGTCTCAATCTCCCGTTGATGCACTTTTTCCCCAGAACCCAATTTTGTTAAAGCACATGTCTTCAATTACCGTTCATGCCCTTTGTCACCAATACCTGATTTTTTGAAGTACCTGTCTACAACTCCCATTGATGCACTATGTCACCAATACCTAATTTTTCTAAAGCATTTGTCTCCAACGCTTGTTGATCCACTTTGTCACTAATACCCAATTTTGTTGAAACACTTACCTTCAACTCTCATTGATGCACTTTGTCACCAACACCCAATTGTTGATGCACTTGTCACCTGCTCCCAAATTATTATTTTTTTCTTGACCGCTTCTCTACTTTTTAGAGAAGAGCCTCTTCTTCTTGTGCCATATTTGCTTGCACCTCTTTATTGTTTGCATTCATTTTTGCTCAATCCTTCTCAACATGATTGTTCTCCATGCATATTATTGGCTTGACTTTTGCCAACATACGCAATGGCCAGATGGGCAGCACACATTGGCTAGTGTCGCCCGCCAGCAGCGGAAGCTAATTAATTCTCTCCCAAGATCGTAGAAGCTCTGATACAAATATGAAAGAAAATCACTATATTAAATCTTTGAAAGCTCTCTATAATTCTTCTCACAATTCTCTACAGATCTCTACATATAAAATAAGCTATTAATACCCCTATTTATAATAGTACGAAACCTATTTCAACTAGAAACATGAAAGCCTATTACTATATTAACTCTGACTATAAATCCTACTTAGACATGAGTTAAATAAAATAACAAATATCAAATGTTAAATAATTTAGGATTCCTACTACAACTTTCAATTAGTTTTCCGACATTCAAGTTGTATTCTTTTTGTATTCAAAAATTAAATTCTAAAAACTTAAACAAAGAAACAGAAAAAATATATAAGAAGAAAAAATAAATCTGAGTTGCCACTACCCAAAATTTCACCTAGTCGTGATGTTACCTAACTCTAATAAGCCCAACAATAAATAATACAACTCGAATGAAAGATTATCAATAAACCAAAAATAAGAAGGTAAAAATCCATACAATTATTCCAAGGACTGGTAGAATAAATCACGAGCCACAAGATCTAGATTTACAATGCTTGTACGAAGAAAATACAATATCTGTTTGAATATACACAAATAGAATCTTAATCTATCATGAGCGCTAGTACATCCTCAATGCTAGCCTTTGTCATCCACAACAACTCACCTCCAAAATAAGCACGCAATGTGCAGAAGTCTAGTATGAGTACAATTCATCCAATATACTCAGTAAATATCAAGACTAACCTGGTGAAGTAGTGACGCAGTTTTAAGTCAAAAGATACTCACTTTACTTAACCTGTACAACTCAATAACATATAATGGATATAACGACCCGACCGGTCATTTTCCTTTCTAGATATCTATTCCCCTAATTAAAATCCCTCGTATGTTCTTTTATTATTTTATAACTTGCAAGGATGGTTGGTTTTGTTTTGGAAGGGTTCGGGTTATCGAAACACTTAGTTCCATAATAATGGCCTAAGATGGCTATGTTTGACTTGGGTTAACATTTTGAGTAGACGACATCGGAACCGGTATTTGACAGTTCCAATAGGTTTGTACGATGATATTGGACTTGGGCATGTGTTCGTATTGAGTTTTGGATGATCCGGGAGCGTTTCGGCGTTTAATATTGAAAGTTGGCGCATTGAAGATTTTTAAGTTCTTTAAGTTTGGTTTGGAGTAGAATTTGGTGTTATCGATGTCCGTTTGGCATTTTGAGCCTTAGAATAGGTCTGTATTTGGTTAGTTTTTCTACCGAGGTCGGAGTTTTTTTTAAGACAAATCCATCATTGAAGGGCTAGAGGTCGGATCACTCACTCAACAATTTCTACTTCTCCCAATGGGAGCCTTTACTAGTAAGGGCGCGTAGAACCGGGGAGGCGGATGGGACTCTATTTAAAGGCTTCAGGTCGTGCCCCCTCCCTTCAATAATGTCAAAGGATCATAAGAGTCACATTTATTTCTCCCAACATCATTCTCAAACAAAGAAAGTATGGATTGAGTGGGTCCTTTTTATCACCCCCCGAGAGGTAATAGTCAGTGTTTGGTTTTGGAATCAAAAGATTGTTACTGAAATAGCTAATAGGGAATGGCCAGCTACAACAATGGAAGGTTGCCTAACCGATTTCATTTTAGGTCTTGGAGGACAAGGATCGGCAAATATGTTTTGATCCCTTCTTCGAGACCCAGTATGTTGGAAATTTGCATGCGTAGGATGTTTTTTCCTAATATCAACAATTTTCGTTTATGACTTGTACGTAAAATTTGGCGTCACTCCGAGTTGTTTAAGTATGATTCATCGCATTCAGAATTAGTTGAAAAAGTTTGAAGTCCATAAGTTGATTAATTTGATTTTGGAGTGCGATTCTTAGTTTTGATATTTTTTTATGGGTTACGAGGCTTCGAGTAGGTCCGTATTATGTGTATGAACTTATTGGTACAATTGGACGGGATCCCGAGTGGTTCGGGTGAGTTTCGGACCACCTGGAGCTAAGTTCAAATTTCTGAAATTTACTGTTCTGGTTTCCTTCTTCACAAACACGAGAAAGGCCTCGCGTTAGCGATAAAGGAATGGGACTGGGGGAACTTTGTTCTTGACTTCGCAATATGGAGCTCGCGATCGCGATGCTCTATGTCACGCCCCAAACTAGGGGAGGCACGACTGGTACTCGATACTGTATTCGATCGAGTTAGCCACTAAACATACTAACTAACTAGACTGGGAGCCCAACAGATCGGGCAGCACAACATCTGAAATACTAAGCCTGGACCGTAAGGTTATGACATGAATAACAATAAGCTATATAAACATAGGTAGACAAGCTAAAATAATAAAATACTAGCTGGCCGACGAGGCTGCGACTGAAGACATACATGCCGACACACCTATATATACATGCCAAGCCTATGGGCTGGAGACTGAAAGCAGCAAAAAGAAACCCA